GTTTGTTTTTTTTTTTTCCTGTTTGTTTGTTTGTTTCGTTTTTTTTTTTTTTTTTTTTAATTATAGGCATAATGCTAATTTAAAAAGCCTGTAAATCTCATAAATAAGCCAGCTAACAGAGTTGTATGCTGAAGAATAATCTAGCTGTTGCCTGTATGCTGCTAAACCAAAACAGAATTAGAACTCATTTTGAGGCAAATGCAGTTAAGATCCTACATAGTGCATAAATAAAGCATTGCAATGCTACTAGCAGTCGCAGGACCCAGGAGGACTGGATACATTCTGTCCAAATTTCAGGAACATTTCTTACTGCTTACCTCATAAAACACTTCTGTTCGTGGCATCTCTGTGTCTCTGAACCAAACCTGATACTGTCGAGTTAGTGCTTATGGGGTTATATTATGTTGTTACACTGAGTGGCAGTGTGTGTACTGCAAGTTTCTTTTTTAAAATATTCTTTATGTACTTAAAAAAGGCCAAATCCAGATTAAGTGGGTTCACGTGCCAACAGAGATGCTTTTATTTGTCACGTTATTATAACAATCTGTAGTAAGCAAAGCAATTCAGATTTGTACTTTTTTTTTTTTTTTTATATTGTACTTATTGGCATCACTGGTCTGAAATGCACATTTTCACCGACAGACCTGTAACAGACAAGTTTCCAGCAACAAAAAAAAAAACAAAACTAAAGTCTAGAAATAAAATTGGTAAAACCCAACGTCTGCCTGTTGTCTTCTTTTAATATTTTTTGTTTCATAGCCTTTAAAATGCTGAATGGTTGTAACTACCCACTGCAGTGAGTAAACCACGTGATATTTTCTGGGTTTGACTCTCTGTGCTTTAAGAGTTTCAGTGCTGAAAACCTTTTGTTGTTATTTTAGGAAACTGTAGGCGTTTTGGGCAGTGGGCAGGTGCCTGCCTCTCACTGCAACCTGTCTTTTTCAAGAAGCAAAATATTTTTTTTTTTTCGGCTGAAGACTTTATTTTAAACATCAAAAGATTTTTTTTTAATTTATTTTTTTATTTTTTTTTACTCAGTAAAATACCCTTTGGTGTTTCTTGTCAATAAAATAGGTGCTGGATGGTACAGAACACTTGTATTTTTTATTTTAACAGTGTAAGGATTTGTCTCTTAGAAGACAGTCTATTTTAAAAGCAGTAAGTTAACCTGCCTTCTTTTCTGTCCTTTCCTCTCCTACACAGCTTTTGCATCTTACTGTTGTACAGCTGAGACAACAAGGGATTAAACCTGAAAAGCGTAAAAACCTACTAGAAATACGTAAAAATAACCAGACCTAGAAGGACAAGGAGGAAAAGAAATTATATATTATTATAAAGTTAAATGAAAAAATATTACAACCTGTGTCCCAATTCACATTCCAAAATATCTCTGAAAACTGGGGATGCACATTATCAATTATTACCAGATCTGGACACGGCAGAAACAGCCTATTTTGAGTGGAAATGATCAAGCTTATAACCTAAATATTTGACTATTTACCCTATGAAATTATCTCCGTCTTTAAAAAAAATCTACATAAAAGGTCAAGTGCTCGTCTCTGCTGTCACAAATTAGAAATTTAGTACCTGCCTCCCGAGTTTCCCATTGACTAAACTTCACCTTACGACTGATTCTGTGCAGCGTGTGCAGCACAGGAAACGAAAACTGAAACTCCAGAGCTCAGATCTAACATGTTAATCATTGTCTAGCGCAAAATAAGCTCTCCTCTCCTCTCGGGGCAAGATGGGAAACCATCTGCATCAGAAGAACCCCCAGCTGAGCTGGTGTGAGCCTGGTGGTTCCCCAGTCACTGCAGACAGAAACCTGAACCCTGTGGCCTGCTGTGAAATCAGAGCTCAGGCAGGTAAAGTAATATCAGTACAAGCGTGATCTGGTTTTGTTCCACTTGAAATGAGCAGCTCCCGAAAGATGATCTGGACTGGATTCACGGGGACTCCAGACTAAGCCAAGGCTTAAACTGGACTGGGTCAAAAATGATTCATTTTCCCCAGCATGCTTCAGAAAAAAATAAAAGACTCGCTCCTCTGAGCTTCAATGTTTGAAAATGGAGTGGAGACACACTCAGGGAACCTTGGTTTCTGACAAAAATCTCCTGCTGATAAAAATATGATTCAGTGAGAAATGTAAACCCGTGTTTGGCTGAACAAGTTTGAGTAGGTTTTGCCATTCCTATCTGTTTTACAAACTCTATTAAACTGACTAAGTGGTGTGACTTAAGTAGGTTTAAGCCCACAGAGCCAGCTCCTATATTTACATTTTCCTGCTCCTGAACATCACCTCCAAATGCAGACTACTAAATTTGAATGTTGGGTGAACTATGCCAGTATTACTCACATTGCAAAGGGCAGAAAGACAAGAATGTAGCAAGAAAAACAATTTACTATAGGCTGTAAAAAAATATGCATGTTCAGCTAGGCTACGCTGTAGCTTAGTAAAGGGAAAAATACTGTATTTTTTTGCAACAAATTGAGACTGCACACAGAAAAACTTCCAACAGACCTCCCAAAAAACTCCCCAGTTCCGCTGCTGAATTCAGGCCAATTGACAATCTCGGACCTTTTATGAATATTTAAATTCACACGCTCTTTACTAAATTTATTAGATGTAAAAACTCATAATCCACTTACATTCAGGCAAATCTGGCATTCTGAGTGATAGAAAACTCCAGAAGATGGAGGAGAAAGTGAAGGTTGGAGCTGGTGTTTTAAAAGAGTCACAGGAATGACCCATAAATGCAGGTTACACTGATAAAAGATTCCTGGTAATGTCTTTGAAAAGCTACAGTGGGACAAAGGCAGTAAAGCTGTAAATGAATTTTATTGAATTATTTAATTTCCTTTAATGAATTCATTTGTATGAATTCCTGTCAGCATCATTTTATAAGAAATATATCTCTTCAGACAAACATGGTATTTTTACCATGTCACAAATAAAACTGATCGCAGTAATTGCAGTGGCATGAAAAACGTGGATTCCCATCTGGCTTTTGACTGAATTCCACACAGTATTCCAATCAAATGATGAGAAAGGGATTGCAAATTGGTCAGCTGGATTGCACTGATAATGGGAGACTTGCCAGACTTCTTAAGGGCCAAGCAGAGCAAATTTAGGAGCGAGGCAGAAGTTACCTTTTTGTTTCTTTAAGGTGATAAACATCTAAGAGTGAAAACAGAAATAAGTTTCCTGATGATCCTGCTGACACCTGCAGAGCCCTCCTTAGACCTATCCTGCTTTTTCCTATGTATGGAAAAGTCTCACATTTCAGGGGAGTCACTAAGTATTCACAGCCATCATTTTCCCTCTTGTGCAGAAGGAAAAAAAAAAACACAAAATCCATCTGTGTGGATTTCATCTCCCTTCTCAATTTAGTTATACCTGACGTCATTTTTCTTATTTATGGTAATATCCTTGAAGAAATAACAACGGTCTGAGTTTATTTCGGATAAAAACCCAAATGCTTGTGCTGACAAATAAAGCAGTAACTGGTTCAGAGGGTTGGGGTTGGAGAGATCTCCAGGTACAGATCCCTAATAGCATCAAGAACCAAAGGAAGCTGTGACATTCCAGGACCTGGCACATGGACCTTCCGGATCCACGTGGTGAAGGAAGGTCTGGAGCTTTGAGCTGTGCACGGAGCACATGCCTCCCAGGATGGAAACTGCTCCCCACCCACCCTTCTCAGCCCTGCTGAGTAAATAAATTCGACATCAAATGTTGCTGAGTGGTTCTATTTTATCCATCCCACCTGACAGCCCCGTGACACTTCACCCATCCACAAGCCATATTCCACAGGTGCCTGGCACGGTAACATCAGCACCAGACTCCAAGGAGCTGGGCTGAGAGGGGCAAATCCTTGCCCAAGGACCACTAAAGAAGCATCAGAGCATTACAACTGAGCTGAGCCAGCAGCAGCTCACCTGAGCAGGGACCTGGTGTCCCGAGTCCCTGCTCTGATGGCAAACTGTCTGCCACGGCCAATTGGGCTTTTTGATGTTTTATTTCTCCCTTTTATTAGATTTTATCGCTGCAGATCGTTTGAATGCTGGGGATTATTCTTCCAACAGCTTTTTTCCTCCTTGAACACCAGCAAGGCCACAGTTCTTTCCATCTGGCTGCTGGTTATTTTAAATATGAAGACCTGATCTTAAGCACACATATCCTGTTAAATAAGTACAGCTACGTCCTTGTCATAACACCTTCCCAAGATTTCCATGAATTATTTACTCATAATTAAAT